CACCTGCTTTAGAAACACATGTAAGGATGTTGGAGCACTGCTTCCCTCCTGTGAAAAGCTGTGCAGAACAAAGGCATATTGCTTGCATCTAAGGTGCTGTGGATTTGTGCAAGATCATTCCTAGACGGAAATCTGGTAGGCCACCACTGCCAAAAAGATGAAAAGCCTGTTCGTAAGACATCACATCCATAAGTTGTTACTTTATAGGCAAGGAGAGAGAAAATTTGCAAAACAAGTATTATATCTACCTCCAAGCCACTTCCTTGCACTGAAAGGGAGCACTCTTGCCCCAGCTGACACTTGAAGTCTTGCAGGGAAGACGGGGATTGCCTGGAGTTTGGGGATTCAAAAATAAAAAAGGCTTTTCACCACAACCCCAATTTAAATAGTGTTGAAGCCTCAGGGCTGACTGCAGGACTGCCTGGCAAAAGGTGAGCTTCCCCTCAACCTTTTGCATTAAGCCCTCCCGAGGGACCTGTGGCTCTTATGATAAAAAGGAAAACCCTCTCTCCAAAAGTAGACACAAAGTGAATCAGTGCTGTTAGTCTGCTACAAAAAGCCACAATGCTGAATAACCAGGTACCACACCCCAAAGCACACTTTTATGATCCTTATCTCCAGTGGGTTTGATGGATTCAAGACTTCTACACATTTATCAAACAGATTTGATAAATTTGTTTTGGGTCATGGCAAACTCAGACTGCCACTGAATTCCTTGGGTTTGATTGTAGAAAGTGCATGGTTGTTTTTCCTCTTAGTGTGGATGCCAGGATAGGAAGTCATGGGTGAAGACCACATTCTGACACAGAATTGCTTCACAGCACCTTTCATGACGCACAAATAATTCTGGATGCTGTTAAAGTAGCAAAGCCTTTGAGAGTCTTGTTTTCTGCTGCTTTTCTTACTCTGAAGACACCAGCTGGTGAAATAGAGGACAGGGTGCGGATCCCCTTCACATCAGCACTGATGTGCCTGAGAACACTGGGGTCAAGCTGTCAATCCAGAATCACTGCCTCAAGAGGTATCTCCATACCAGCCTCGGGCTGCTCTGCCAAGAGGAGATAACCTTATCTCGTGCCATGAGGAAGGTACACTTTCCAGATAGGAAACATTAACAAATATTATTTTCCCAACAGTATTGTGTCAAGACACACCACATATTTATATCAAGGCTCTTCCTACAAGAAGAGCTGAAAGATGCCTGCTGGCCCACAGTGCACCCCCCCACACCAGCCCCACAACCCTGCTGTACAGCCATTTCCACAGCACAGAAGTTTGGTACCCTGCTTTGTCAGTGAATCCATGCAGATGTTTCCATCTGCGCTAACTATCCAGATTTCCTACGTGTGAAATGAAAAGAAACAGGCACTTGTCGGACACTTCATCCTAATGAAAACACCCGAAATAGACACTTCTAGGATCCTCTTCCCAAAAAAGGGGCCAGATTTACCAAGGACAGGCTATGTTTTCTGTCAAATTATGTTTTGGTATTGAACCTGATAGATTAAATTTATTATCTAAATTATCTAAACTGGTTTATATCTCATGTGATTGCTTGTAATCGGAACAAAAAATTATTTCTCCTCCCTGATACTGCTCTCCAGGTGCTTCATAAAACTAAGTGCTAAGCATCTCCTGGAAACCCTGGACATGCTAAGCTCCCCTATAATCAGCCCCTCTGGGAATCATTGCCCACACCATGATATAGACATCACCAGGTAAGCAAGATAAATCCCAGACTCCCCATTTCAAAAACTGACACTTCTTGTCCTCCCTGTAAAACAGCAATTCCCTGTGTGTGAAGAACCTCCACACCTGTGACCTTCCTGTTTCACGTAAAAAAAAAAAAAAACCCAAAACAAAATAGAAACCATCTCCAAGAGCACCATCACCTTTGAGACTGGGACAAGCCTACACTGCCTGAATAATCTGAGACCTCACTAAAGTCCCTCAGCTTTGCAAGACCTTTGCAAAGAGGACTCAGACCCTTAGCACATATGGAAACATAGCCTTCCCCAGAGAGAAAACACATCTGCTGTGTCCCCAGACTGAAGGATGTAGGTTGGTCAGGAAGGGCTGGAGCCCTGCATGTTTAAAATCAGCAGTGACTACAAGCTAGTGACTCGCTTTGGGCTAAAGGGCTGGAAAAATTAAATGTACTTTTATAAGAACATCAACACCTGCAAACTTTCATGACAGAGTAGGACTCCTCTGCACAGCTGACCTAGATGATGGCTTTCCAGCACAACAAGATGCATCAAACTTTTGTCTGGTTCTGAGCTGCAGCAGAAGCAACATCAGCACCTGCAGGCGGATCGGCCACACTGACTTGACACCCACACAGCCACATTCACCTACATATCCAGGTGATACCATACACTCCTTACCTGAGAGAACAGCAAGTGTCCCTCAGATCTCTTTAGTAGTTGCCCCTTCAATAATGGAATGGGAAGTCTTTAAGGTTGAACATAAAGTTCTTCAGAAGTCAGTTTTAACCTAACTGAATTAACTGTATATATGGCCACATGCAGAAAGCCCCAGCTAAAATAATTCTGGCAGTGTCTACTTATAAGCAGACTCCAGCTGTGAGTTTTCAGGGTTGTTTGACATGTACTTCGTTGGATTAGTCAGTGTGCTTGAAATCAAGAATTCTTCCCTTTCTGCTGTGATCGCACTGTCTTTTCCTGCATTTCTGACTTCATCTAATAAGCTACTTTGACAGATCACAAGCTGGCTTTCTCCCATCAAACCTTTGGTTTCTATACTGGAATACAACCTTAGGCTTCCTCTAGTTTTCTGACCTGAATTACTGTTAAATGGAAAAGTGAATGTCAATACACAGGTGAAAGACCCCAAAAAACCTCTGGTTTGTCAGAGAAGCCACAGAAAACAGCCAAACAGCTGTTCAGTCCCAGCCCATCGATTTGTCAACACTCGTAACAAACAATCACATTAAATGACATTATGGTTTATGGCTTGGGATTTGGAAGTTGATGAGAAATTTCTACAGTTGATTCATGCTTCCTGAGACGCATAACTAGCCTTTCAATTGCACTATTTTACTACATTACATGAATAATTTTCCTCTTTGTTACGTAAGTGTCTAGATCCAAATTATCGGAACTGATTTGGATTGTATGAGTGGAAGGGGTTATTTTCAAAAGAAACACATACTTTCAGATTATACCATCTAATAATACTCTCCTGGTGCTTTACAAACAGCCTTCTTAAACACCACATGCTCACACTTATCCCTAAAATCAGCTCTTTAGGGAACTGCCTAGCCCCTTGCAGGCACCTTGTTTCACATCCCTCAAGTAAAATGCGACATGGGGGTTGCTTACAGACAGCTACAGCCAGCACCACATTTCTTAAACTCACAGCTCCAAGTATAGGTCCTGAAAGTCCCCAAGGCAAAGAACAGAGACAGCAGCAGCACCTCTGTATACTCAAAGTACAGAGAGGTTTGGGGAGGCTGGGAGGGAAGAAAACCAGGTGCCCTTTGGATTTAAAACCTATACAATATTTCCTAGATCTTGGCTTCTGAGCTGAGACCGCAGACCATGCTAGTTCCATTGATGGACAGTTTCAGGATGTCTCTATCAAATATATCCGAGCTCTGAACTGGCAGCACCACCTAAACATCCCCGAGCTGACTTGAAACAAGGCAGATGAGACCCTGACAGGTTCACACCTGCAGTACAAATAGACAACAGGGCTCCATGCTCCTGGAAGGTCTGAGCACCTAAGGCAGCTCAGCTGTATGTCCACTAGTCGTGGTCGCCTCGGTTTCAATGTGGACAAATCCTTCAGCAACTATTTGCAACTCTTCTGACCAACTATGTGATTTCCATCAGGTACAAAAATTAATCAGCTCTTGTTTCTGGATGCCACAGCATAGCACAAAACTATTGAACACCTGTACCAGTACTGTGAGCTCTGAGAAATTTCCTGCTGCAGTGACATATTCCTTCTCCAAAAGAGTAAACACACAACAAATTTGGTTTGGTTTGTTTATGGGTTTTGTTTTTAAACAAGATAAGCTGTTGTCATTCTGGCACACAGCTCTGGTAGCACAAGTAAAAAGGCAAAGTCTTCAGCTGATCAGCTAAGACATTTGAGCTTCATATAAATTCCCTAAAAAAAAGGAACTGTTATTTGCCAACTGAAATATTTTCATTCTCCACATTAGGCTGAATCTAATTACACTGTTTCCTTACAATTGCATAGTACTAAGAGCTCCTTTAAGTAAAAAAAACTTAATGACTTTCTCACTGCAATGCCCGCCTCAGAGCCCTTCACATTGCTGACAGGATGATTTGTTTAAAGAGCAGGTTGACATCTAAGAAAACTTAATTCAAGATTTCCACATGATACAGATTTTTATCACGTTCCCATGCTCAATCACCAGGATAACCTACACAGAGTAGTACACACATTCACCACCCTACTAGCTCTGATCCCTTAAAATAAAACAAACAAAAAATATTTTAAAAGAAGATGAGGACATCGTGAAGTAGCATGGCTGTACTTTGCTCAAGCCCAAAAGGCATCTCTGCTGCTGGACCTCGCACAGAGTGAGTGCAACCTGTACTCCGGCATGACCCCAGCTCTGCTGCCCAAGAGCACTTAATTAAGGGCGAGCACTTAATTCTGAACTACAGGCTCTGACCACTACCATCAGAACAAGGACTAAAAAAATAATTATTCTTTTTTTTCTTCCTTACTCTCACTCCGTCCCCCCAAGGTTTTGCATGCCGGGGTATATTCTTTTTTTACTGTTTGCGAGAGGTTTTGCCCTTCCCCGAAGTGAGCTGCCCTCCTGGCCGAAACCCATGCAGTCCAAGGTGGGTCCCGGCGGGCGAAGCCCCGACCACGTCGCGCCCCACCGGGAGCGGCCGCCCGTCCCCACTGCCCGGGCCAGGGGTGTCCGCGGGACGGGCGAGCGGCTGGGTGAGCTGCCCGCAGCCCAGGACTCGCTGCCTCCTTCCCTCACTCACCCAGGTTGACGAAGCTCATGACCATGTCGGCGTCGTTGAGGAAGGCGCTGTCCTGCGGGCTGGGCAGCGGCGGGGCAGGGGTCTGCGGGCGGCCCCCGCGCTCCGCGCCCGCGCTGCCCTCCGCGCCCTCGGCCAGGGAGTGGTAGAGGTCCAGCATGAAGCGCGGTGCCGCCCTCAGCCGTCCCGGCGGCGGGGCCGGCGGCTCCCGCGGCAGCGGCCGGGGGCGGTGGGGCAGCCCCAGCACCGAGAGGATCTCCCGCTGCATCTCCCGCTTCTCGTGCGACTTCAGCCGCCGGTAGAGGAAGCCCGAGGCGGCGGCGGGCGGCGGCAGCTCCCCGGCCTCGGCGGGCAGCGCGGGCTCGGCGGGGCGGCAGGCGCCGCTCAGCAGCGCCCAGCAGCAGCACAGCCAGGCCAGCCGGCGCGGCATGGCGCTCGGCCGGGCGCAGGCGGGCGACGTCCCCGCTCCGCGCTGTCCCCGCGGGCTGCCCGCCGCCCTCCAGCCCTGCCCCCCCGCGGCGGGTTCGGCCCGGGCCGGCGGGGGGCGGCCAGGCCGGGGGGGCTCAGCGCTCGCCCCCGCCGCCGCCGCGCATGGCCGCCCGCGGGGCACCGCGCAGCGGAGCACCCCGCGCCCGCCGCCGCTCAGGTGCGGCGGGGCCGCCCCCGGCCCGCTCCGGCCGCTCAGTTCGCCATGCCCCTGCCCGGGGGATCCGCGCCGGGCCGCGGGGGCTGCGTACGGGGGGAGAAGGAGCAGGGTGAAGAGCAGCAAACTTTTCTCGCTGCCAGGGAGCGAGCGAGCGAGCGAGCGGCTTCAGCGGCTGCAGCCCCGGTTCCCGCGGGCTGGCCGGAGCGCGGCTGCTGACTGCGAAAGCAAATCAGCAGCGCGCCCGCCTCTCGGCGGGGCGGGCGGCCGCTCCTCCGGGGCGGGGAGCGGGCGCAGGTAGCGCGGCCCCGCGGCGGCGGACAGCGGGGCGGGGGCGGCGGAGGAGCAGGTTGGGAAGCGCCGGTCCCGTCGGATGTCGCGGGCTCGCTGCCCTGGAGAGGCGCTCCGCCGAACTGCGGCTCCGGCTGCCTCTGGACTCTGCCGTCTTGTTTCTTGTTGAAGGAAGGGTTTCGGCCACCCTTCCTGCCTCCAGAGGGTGTTGGCTATTTGTCCTGAAAATAGGTGGAGTTTTCTAAATCTGAATAAGCGTTGCGGTTCATTTTACCAAGTTACGACATACTACACAGCGCTTTTTTTTTTTTTTCTTTTTTTTCTTTTTTCCTTTTCTTTTTGTTCTGGAGTATTTTGCAAAACTGAACATGGAACTATGGTACATGGCTGGAAGTACCCAGGTACCCCAAGCTAGCTCTGATTGATGGAGTACCGATCTGCATCTTATAGAGCAGGCTATACTGCCAGAAAAGACCATACCCCTTCCTATAGTAATGCTGCAGCTCTGATTTCATCACTTTCATCAAAGAGTGAAAAAAAAAAAACCAAACCAAAGCCCATCCTACACTCCAATAACAGCAGTTTCGTTGAGCGAGAGGCAGCTCTTCCATACCCTGATCTCTGATTTCATGGATCTTCCTCGGACTGGATGAGTAAAACCTGTCTAGTCCCACTGAAATCAGTGCAATTGCTCTAGGTTTGAACTGGGATAATTTCATAGGAATTGGCCGGAGAATAATGTCTGGACCATTTGAAGTCACTGGCAAAATTTCCATTAATTTTATTAGAATCAGAATCTGGCAATAAGCTCATATTCAGCTTCCCATCTGAATATTCCCAGCTGAATATTCTCAGCTGAGAATATTCAGGACAGAATACAGTATTTTCAGAAGTGGAGGCTACACTGAACCTTCATGTCTCTGAAAGCAAGGTTACAGATGTGTGTTTTAACTGCACCAGTGAAGGAACACTGTAATGCTGGATATTTTAAAGCTTGTTTTGATAGGAAAAAGAGCATCTATTAGGAGATTTGAGCATAGCAGTCATAGGGATGGGAGGGAAGAGTACAACTTTCTTTTGCAACTGTTTTTGGTTGGGTTTTCTTTTTTCCAGATTGTGAAGACACTCAAAATTTGAAAATAAGGTTTCATGTGATAGCACAGACCCAACATGCTCTTTTTGCTTTAGTGGATCTCACTACCTTCATGAAAGAGGTCTGTGTTTCCCAGGAAGGACTAAAGAAGGCAATGTCCAGGGGAAGTTTTGTACTGCTGGTTCATTTATTCACTTTTCTCAACATAGAGCAATGGGGCTGCTTTTATTAGATGAGGAGACTAGGGCTCACTCCCAGAGAGGTGGTGAGCAACACACCTTTCCTTCTGTAAGGCAGTGTGGGATACTTCTGGGAAAATCCAGCTTCCGAGGAGTAGAGCCCAGTGCACAAGCACTGGGCTCGCCCTTGGTGAGCTGAGAGGGATGCAGGACATTTTGTTATCCCTTAGGAAGGGCGTCTGGAGGTTGGGAGGAAGTGCAGAAGCCCTTAAGGTGAGTGAGGGACGTTTCGTAGGCAGGTATTTATCCCACACATGCTGGGAAAAGAGAGCAGCCACTTCCCACAGACATTCACTTCCCGGTTTCTGAGCTTGTTTGGGTGTAGCTCCTGTTGCTGTGTCCAGAAGAGCTTTGTAGCCTCGGCTTCCTGTTTTGACAATGAGAGAGGGCAGTGTCCCATTACACGGTTATTGCTGAAGAATGAACCTTTCCATCCAAAGTGTCCGCTGCTTCTCTTGAAGATAGGAAGAGATGGTGCACATTTAGCAACAGACAGTGTCAAACTCTGGAGTAGTTCTTGGGTAGCAGTCCCAGAGCTCTTGGGTTTCTGCTCCTCTGATTCTCAAACATGTATCAACTTTACATTTTTAATCTGAAATAGTGGTTACTGCAATAAACAGTAGCTGTTACAACAGTTGGAAGCATTCGGGCATCTGAGGTTAAAGAAGTCTGAGGACAGGAACACACAGCAAACCTTCCAGTAGTTCCCTCTTAAGTTACTTTATTCTAGAGGTAAATTTCCTCATGTAGGAGGGAAGCTAATGCCCTCCTTGAGAAGTCATTGCACCTTATTAAGTTTAAGTGTTCCACTTTTTTCCCAGAAGTGCTTTCCATAATTGTATGCTACTTATGCCTGGGAATGCCTCTTGCTTGTGGATGTGAATGCTTTACTGTGGGATTCAGTTAATGCTATCAGATCTACGAAAGTTACAGCATCACTCAAAGACTCAATGAGGCTGAAAAAGACTAGGTCTTCTTCCACAGGTCAAATATAGTGACTCTCTCAGATATTCCTGCCATTTGAAAGGGCGAGTTTCCCGAAAGGATTTTAGGACTTTGGATGAGAGCTGCATACCTAATTCTCTGGAGGAGTGCCCAGGCTCTATTCTACAACTGCTGCAGGCTGAGACACACACGTTTTAAGAGTTAACCATATATTTCAGAGCTGCCGGCAGGATTTTGGATTTTTTGCAGCCAATAAGCCTTCGCAGCATATCTGCGGTCCAAAACGCTATCGTAACACGTAATTTCACTCGAGTTTTCGCGTCAGATCTTCAAAAATGCTGCGAATCCAGGTTTTTGGGTATCGTGCGAGTCACCAGCTTTCCCTGCTCGTTACGGACATCTGGTGGCAAAGTGGAGAAACTCGGGTCTGTTCCTCGAAGTTTCCATCGTTGGCAAGTTAGCAATAAGACATTTATTTTTCTTTGTCTCTCAGACAAACAAATAAAAACTAAAATCAAACAAAAAAAAAAAAGAAACCAACAAAAGAAACCAACTACCCCTAACCAAAATAAGCTACACTCCCTCTATATAATGCAAAAAGGTCTCCTCCCTCCCCTGGATAAATCCTTATGTAATTTTCTGTCCTTAAGCCAAACTTCAGTCTATACTCAATCCCACACCTGCTCAGTGCTTCATGAAGAAAGTCTTTTATACATGACCATGAACAGAGCCTATACCTCACAGAATAACCATCTCAAGGTGTGGCATGGTGCCAGCAAGGATTAACTATAGCAGTTAATTTCTTCTGATAGTGACAGTGTTTAGATTATATGCAATTAAAAGCTGTGCTACCTGTTTCTAGTCAAAGAGTATTTACTGGATTTTCAGTATCTACTTTTATCAAATCATTCCTTGCTCTTATTTAAGCAAATTAAGTTTCCTCATTGTTTTATGCAAAAGTTGCAAGGAGCAAGCAGTTCAAGGCACATAAAGCACTGAAAGGGTAAAGAGGTAGTTCAATTTAGCTGGAAGCCCTCAGAATGAAAAGAGCCAAACAACAAAGCAAACAAAAAACCCCGAAAAAACAAATAAAAATTAGAGTTTTCATCACAATGCCTTAAAATACACTACCTCTTCTGTATCATAAGGACAACTATGCAAAATCTTCATAAATCGTCCCAGGTACCGGGATTACACAACCCTAGCAGAATGATATACATTAAATTAATTATTTTTCAGGATTAATAAAATACTGTTGAATAGAGTGTAGAACTTACTATTCTAGTGATCCCTTCTCCATCTCCTGAGCATAGAAAAGTCACAACTTTGCATTCACACCTTCCCTCTAGATGAACCACTGGCTGTCAAAGTGCCTGTGACAAACGCAGGCTCCCATGCTTATGGGGTCAGCAAGGACACTGCAGTAAGGGCAGCTTTGGTCCCCACACTCATTTTGCCAAAAAAAATAGTTTGGTTTTTTTTTAAAGCAATGTGGAAGAGATGTCAGTAATGACATTTGCTTTCTAAAAAAATCGCCAAACCCTATGTTGTACAATAATGACATAGCAGGAATAAACTATTTGCAGTGCTGCACTTGGAGAGGTTGAAAACGCAAACATGCCTCCTAATTTTAGTGTATCGGTTTCCAAAGTCTGCTTGTGCAATGAGAAAGGGTGGTTGAGTATAATCTTAGTTCAAAGATTGAAGCAGGCTAAAAACAGCATTTGCTATGAAAGCCCAAATTTTTCTTTTTGCTTGCTGAACGAACTTTATCCACTGCAAGTAGAGGCAGTTGAAAAATAGTAACATCATCTTATTTGCACATAGCAAACCACTACTCTCTTTACTCAGAAATCTGATCTAAAAATATGCAATGGTAATTTCCCAGATCAGAACGCTTTAAAAAATGGTTATTAATATCAATTCAATAACATGACGGGACTTCTATCCCTGCAAAAGCAAACAGTTAAAAGTGAAAAAAGTCCCAGTATGAGATTCACAAACAATTCCAACTCTGTTCCAATACTGGCCACCATCTTCAACCTTCCAAGGATGTACTTATGTATGAACAATTATACCTTAAATTTTATTTGAAGTATTAAGGGAATCTGACCTGAAATTGCTGCAATTAAGAAAATATTAATATATTACATAATTTATATTATTTTTCTGGATATTTTCATGGTTTGTTTGGGTTTTTTTTCATTTTTTTCTTAGTGGTATCTTAGAGAAATAACTGAATTTCTCCTGAACAATGAAAACTAGAGAGGTGCCTGGCTGCAAGA